ATCTATCTATCTATCTATCTATCTATCTATCTATCTATCTATCTATCCATCTATCTGTTTATCCCTTATCTATCTACATCACTAACATATCTGTGGTACCTATTAAATATAATCCACTATTTAACCTCACAGTGTTAATGTGAAGATCAAATGAGTTTATGTATGTAAAGTACTTTGTAAATTATACAAATAAATGCTTTTATTATTAGATATTATAATAGTGAAAGTGCCAGGATTGAGCCCAATTCAACTCAATATTTCAGTCTTGCAAACATTTATTTCTCCCATTCTGTCCCACAGAGTAAAGCAAGACATTCTATAAAACACTCACTCCAGTGAAAAAGACCTCCATTGGCTGCATCATATGGGACACGAAATTCTTCCATTCCAACTTTATACCACCCTTCTGCTGTAAGTGTAGAAAAATCAGGCTGATTAATCTCGCACAAAAAATAAGGAAGCTGGGATCACAGAATCATTGAATACAGAGCTTGAAAAGGTTTTGGCAACGAATCTGTTTCAACTTCATCATATTACTAATTAGGAAAATGAGTCACAAAGAGACTAAGTTACTTAACCAAGCTCACATCTCATAAATAGTTGAGTTAAAATTTGAACTCAGACCACCAGACGCCAAAGCCAGTGAACTTTTAGAAATAAGTAGAGAAAAATCCTCTGTCAATTTAAGCAACCCCTCTCCTTTAATGGGAAGCTAGATGGTGCAGTGGATAGAGAACTTGGCTTGAAACCAGGAAGACTCATCTTTAAGAGTTAAATTCTGGCCTTAAACACTTACCAGCTGTGTGACCCTGGGCAAGTTGCTTAACCCTGTTTGCCTCAGTTTCCTCATATGCAAAATGAGCTGGAGAAGGAAATGGCAAACCACTCCAGTATCTTTGCCAAGAAAAGTCCCCCCAAAAGAGTCAGACATGACTGAAACAGCTCAACAACAAAAATAATGACCCACTTCCATAAAAGAAGTCTATGGAAGAGCATCTCCTTTATTAAACTTTAGATACTGTGCTGTGTATTATACAGTCAGAGCTGGAATAGGAGAATAATACTGGTCAAGAATATTATGATTATTAATACTGATCTTTTCCCCATTAGAATGTTGATCTCCTTAAGGATGTAAACAAGCCTTCTTTAAGTGCCTAAATATGTGCCATGCACTGTACTAGACCCTTTACAAATATTATCACATTCAGTTTTCAGAATAACCCTGGGAGGCAGCTGCTACTGTTGTCTGTATTTTACAATTAAAGAAACCGAAACAGAGAGGTTAAGTGATTTGCCCAGTGCCACTGATGGTAAGCAGCTGATATCAAAGCAATACACTAATTCATAAGAAAAATTTCAAATTATTAAGAATCTATCAAATCAATCAATTTGGAAGGAAAAATAAATCAAGTGAGTTGTCTCATATTATACACACACATACATACACACACACACACACACACACACACACATATATATGAAACAAATTGATGAATCTTTTCCCTTTTCAACCTGACTCTTGCATATTAGGCAGATGTAGTTAGAGGATGTCAAAAGAATGAATAAGACAATGGCAAAAAAAAAAATCTTGTATGTAGCACATTTTTTTTCTGGCCAATACTTTAGAATACTTTGTAGAGACACATACTTTTTCAAAGTAAAAAATAACTATAATAACAATTTCTGTCTGTTCTGACTTTTAATTTAAAGGCCATGTCAGTAGCCTTCAATGTGCAGGATGGATTCTCTTTCAAAAGTTTATGGGAAAATATGAACAAGGATTGAACGGGATTAGAAGGTGTATGCGTGTGAGTGTGTGTTGTGTATCTGTATGTGTGTGGCAGTGGGGGAGAAAGGTGAAGAGGAGAATTAATTCTCATTAGTAAAGTAAGCATTCATGCCAGTAAGATGACAGGTTTATTTGGTATTTCTGTAAAAAGTGAGGGAGAGAAAGAAAGAGGTAGAGAGAGAGGGAGAGAGAGAGACAGAGACAGAGAGACAAAGAGAGAGAGAGACTTCGAAGATTATCCAGGACTCTCCTTAGGGCAGAGATCAGAATAGACCCCAAATGAAGGGTCTCTGCATTCTGTTTGTAACTACAAGAGTTCATCACTGATCTCATTGAAGAATTGTAGCCTTCTTGCTCACTTTCTTTAAAAAACATGAATTCCCTTTTTTTATTCACTCCCCCTCCTAAGTCCCTCAGTACCTACTTATTCTCCTACAAAACATAATGTCCTTTCAGGAACCATTTGGTAATAAATGAAATAAGACTCTGGTCACAATCTACTACTGATGCAATTCTTTGCAATCTTTTTTTCCCACCTAACAATTATGGAGCATGTCAGAGAAGTTCTTTCTGGAGTCTGAGAAACTAAGTTCTTCACCTTTACTAGTATGGGTTTATTTACTTCAAAATATAGACCTTTATGAATACCTCCTTTTGTAGTGAAATTGGAAGACTGTCAACATTTTATATGAGTGACCAATGAAGCTTTTGAGACCTGTAAACAAACAACAAAAGCTCATTGTGCAATGGGGATTATTAAAACCTTTAACTAGGTTTTCCCAAAGGTGTGCAAGAGGCAATTTTTAAACTAGAGCTGATGATAAATCAGAATTGTGAGGACAGTAGGAGGGAAAAGGAGAGTCATCTCCACCTCTGTCATGACATGTTGTGAGATGTGCTTATCCTGTGCAATATCCTGTAGGGAAAAGGTGCATCACAGGAGACCTTCTTAGGGAGTAGAAGACCAATGGGGTATGCAGTGTTATTGTCCCATTTAGTATATGGTGAAGTCCTACTTCAGTCTACGCCCCTCAGATAGTCCATGGACTTAAAATGAATCAGTGGAACCTCACAAGAATTCAAGATATCATTGTCAAGACCTGCTCCCAAATTAAAACAATGATAACAAGTAAATGGAGACTTCCTCTTCTAACCAGTCTATCTTAACAAACCCATAATCCAGAGTCTTTGTTCTGCTTTCATCCATATAACTTAAAGGTAGACCCTTTGCTTCTAGAGTGGATACAAATATGTATTCCCTCATATTTGAATTGGGTTTTTCCATGCAAAATGGATATACAAAATATACCAATAAACTAATCAGCAAGCATTTATTAAGAATCCAATGTGTGTTAAATAGCAATGTTGAGCACTGGGAATGTAAAAATAAAAGTGAGAGTCCCTGCTCTTAAGGAGTTTACATTCTAATGAAGGAGACAGTGTATACATATATACATATGTGTAGAATACATACAAAATGAATACAGTGATGTTTTGAGAGGGAAGACAATAGCAGTTAGGGAAAAGTCATTAATTAAGATTCTAGTTATTCAGGATATTGATAACTCATAAGGAAACAGTTAACATTTACCATTATTCTCTCTGTGATGGAGGGGTTCATCAAAATGAATAGTTTCAATGTCACTTCAGGTAATGTTCTTGTTATTTCATCTGCACCTATGATTTCATCAGGGTAGAGGACTCCTGATGTAGAATGTCCCTCTACCAGATGAACAAATAATCTATAATTTATGGTCTTATATAGAGTCAATTGAAAGGTTAAGTGAGTTGCCTATGGTCATACAAATAGTGTCTTAGAGTCAGAGTTTGAACCCAGGACTTCCTGACTCTTCTTCTATTTCTTCATATTTCAACATTATGACTTAACTGCCTCATCTCATTGGAAGCTCTCCAATTGCCTTTGGCCTTTTTGCCCTTGAATATTTCTTTCCCTTTCCAGGCCCCAGTGAGGTCCTTCCAAAACCTCTGTTTTGAGGAATGGTCAAGGAAAGTCTTCCTTTTTATTTCCTCCTGGGGCTCTACTTCTGACTCTCTGGACTTTACCTTCAAACCCCCATGCAGGTATCTCCCTTTTCCTATCCCTTTCTCTCCACCAGCTTTTCAGCTCTCTTTTACATATTGTTTCTTTCATTAGACTATAAGCTCTTTGAGGGCAAGGGCTGCTTTTTGGGGGGGTTATATATGTCTTCCCAGCACTTAGCCTAGTGCCTGGCACATAATAAAGATTTAATCAATAAATCAATTATCTACTGACTCCAAAGCTGGTTCTCTATTTATGACTATACCATACTGTAAGGAACATTTATAATATAAGAGCAAAATGGTTTCAAATACCATAATTATAAATAGTTAAAATAAAATACCTTTATCTATTTAACCTATTCTATATATATATATATATATATATATCTTACACATCTATTAATTTATTATTTATCACCTGTCTTTCTCTCTCTCTCTCTCTCAATGTAGCTGCAGTAAGTGTTTTTATCCAAAAAATAGATGAAGTTAGCATGATCTGTAAGTAAAAATATTCCGAGATGTATAGGCAATGATGAAAGATAACCAGCTGATTTTCCCATCTGATTTATCTTTAACTCTGTTCTTCAGGGTTTCATTAAAAGATGATCAGTCTCACAGTAGAGAAGTAACAGATTGCAAGGGAGAAATGGCCATGAATATGGGTTCTAATTATGAGGGGCCCTCATTGTCAAGGACAACTGTGAAAGCTGTCTGGAATTCATGAGTTGGCCTTTCAGTTTCTGCATGGCTGATTTCATCTCTTTGTTTCTCAAGGTATAGATGATGGGGTTTAAGAGCGGGGTGAAGACTGTGTAAAATACAGAGAGGACTTTATCCACTGGAAAATTTTTGAATGGCCAGGCATAGATAAAGATACAGGGTCCAAAGAACAGTGCTACAACAGTAATATGAGCTGTTAAGGTGGCACGTGCCTTAGCTGTGCCAGCTGATGAGTGTTGCTGCACAGTGACCAAGATGACAGTATAGGAAATCAGCAGCAGTATGAAGGAAGTCATGGCCATAAGGCCACTGTCAGAAAGCATCATTATCTCTAGAATATATGTGTCCACACAAGCAAGTTTGATTACCAAGGGAAGGTCACAGAAAAAGCTGTCTACTTCATTGGGACCGCAGAAGGGTAGGTTCACAGTGAAGGCCAGCTGACTCAAAGAGTGTAGGATTCCAATGACCCATGAAGCTACAACTAAGCCTGTACACTTCTGCAAACTCATAATGGTTGCATAGTGCAGAGGTTTGCAAATAGCCACGTATCTGTCATATGCCATGGCTACAAGTAGCACCATCTCCCCACCAGCAAAGACATGGAGGAAGAATATCTGGGTCATGCAGCCATTGAAGGAGATGCTTTTGCGTTCCAAAAGGAGGTCTGCAATCATCTTGGGTGTGGCAAAAGAGGATAGGCACACATCAATGAAGGAGAGGTTGCTGAGCAGGAAGTACATGGGAGTGTGCAGGGCAGGTTCAGAGATCACTGTGAGAACAATGAGGAAATTACCCAGTAAAATAGCCATATAAAACATGGTAAAAAACAAAAAGTAGAAAGGTTGGAGCTCTGAGGACCCAGAAAACCCCAACAACATAAATTCATATACTCTTGAATAATTTGTTTGTTCCATGGTCTCAAATTTCAAGATTGGGTTAGAAGTTTTCTGTGGGAAATTGGAAAAAGATATGAGAATAATATCGTAGGATTAATTATTGAAATGAAAATGTCAGACAAAATGAGAAGACAAATTCCCTTGGCTAACAAGTCGACTTATACCTTCTTTAGGATGTTGCTTAGAGCACACACACACACACACACACACACACACACACACACACACATGCACACACACACACATTTCATTTTCTTTCATAGAAGTACATATGCATTCCCTTGCAGAGGTGCATCCTGGCATGTTATAGCTATGCCAGCACAGACTCTAATACTTCATTAATTCACATCACTGATTTAGAATTTCTGATAATTCAGATAGATGTTATTCTAAAACTTAGTTTTATAGATATGGATATAGACACAAATTGTAGCTTTGTCAAGAAAAATAAGAAGTCAAATAAAACTGCACAAAGTATGCTTAAACTGTGTAGAGAACTGGGTGGGACTTTAATAGCAATTGTTCATATACCTAGATATAAAAATACAAGTAAATGAAATGAATAATGAAAAAGAAAGTTCCTTATTAGGCCCTTATTACATGCCAATTTCCATGTAATTTTTATCTGTCCTTTTGAAATGCTTTGCAAGACCTCTCCTTACCAGTATTTTGTTAGCCCAGTAGGGATGTTGTAAGTGGCTCAAAGGAGATAGGAGGAAAGGATTAAAACTAAAAATGATTCAAAAGTAGGGTCTTGTATCATTTTGATCCACTCTTTTAGTTTTAGCTCATCCTACATTGGTGTTATCAACGTGTGCCTGCTTTCATCACACCACCTCCACCCAAAACACTATTAGGTCATAAAGTACCTTGAAAGTAGAATGGTGTTGTTTCTGTCTTTGTATCCTCAGAACCTAGAGGAATGCAGTGCACATAGTTAGTGTTTAATAAATTCTTGGTCCTTAATAGATTCAAGAAAGTTAGCTGGATGACAAAGTGATTAAGATGGTTGAAAGTGAGTTAGAACTTCTTAGAGTATTCTACTTCATCAGAGTAGAAAAGGTCAAAAATATTACAGATGGAGACCAAGACTAGAAAACAGAAATCAGGAATTAACCCCAAGTTTTGTTGCTGGCTGGTCCTGTGATCCTGAAGAGGTCCCTTAACCACTTTGTGCTTCAGTTCATCTGATTCTGAACATAGTAAAAGCCTACCCTCCATATACCTCCTCTGAATTCCAGGAGAATGAGTCTGTGAAACTATCAATATTCCCAATCAAACTATTCACATGGAGAGCACATGTAATTGTCTTGATAAATCATTCTTGGGTGATATGAGTAGTGAAAAGTCAGTCTTGTGCCCTCCCTGCTCCACAACACTATTTAAATAGGAGACAGCATATACAGTGTCTTTTTAAGCATTATAAAAATTCATGTAAGAAAAGGAGCAGTCCCATCTTTTTGCTTTGTTATTGATTGGCACTGTTATTTATTGATTGTTCATAAATAAGCTTCAATCATTTAACATAAGGTAGAAGAGTGAATTTCTTCACTTCCATAAACTCCATTTTTGAGCTATTGACTAACCATCAGTATGGGGCTGACCAAAGCATAGTCCCTGGGTGACCACTGAAATTTACCATACCATTTTCTATTGTGGATGATTAATTCAGTACACTTGAATGAATCAACCAGACTATTTGCTCCTTAAGATGAAGAGAATAACAGAACTGCCTTAATTGGCTAATTAATATGAACTATTAGAATGATCATTTACACATCAGTCATTTGCTTGGGGACCAGCTATTAGAACCATTGAATGAAGTGAATCATTTGAATCATGGCTTCATAGAAAAAGGAATTATAATACCTAGCTTTTCTTTATCATTTTAAGTGCAAAGCACTAGATATACATATATGTATACAGATAAACTTACGCATAGATGTATGTGTGTTTATATATGTATGTATGTAATTTCATTGGATAATGCAATAGTAAAAATACTGGATTCAGAGGTAAAGGACTTGAGTCTGAATCCCCCATCAACCCCATACTACCTGTGTGACTCTTTGCAAGTCTTTTCACATCTCCAGTCTTCAGTCTTCTCATCTATAAAATAAGGGGGTTGGACTGGATAAACTCTAGGGATCCTTTCAGCTCTTAATCTGCTATCTCCCAAATTAAGACATGCTCCAAGTCTCTACAGTAATTCTAAATATTAAATGTAAGATATTATGACTATGAGCATCACCATCAAATACTATTACTGAAACACTCACCCTATTCATGGATCTTAATGAATCTCTCAAAAGAATTATTGACATTTAGTATGAGTAAAAGAAAAATGAATTTATTTATATTTAAGCAACATTATCTAACTACTCATACCAAATATCAGTGAAATGAGATAAAAAAAACTTGGACGTCACCAGAGCTGAGATCAGGGGTGGGAGAAAGAGTTGCCTAGTTTGTAATACATATGGGACATGGTGATCAATTCTTAGAATAGCTCTTTGTAAGTGAACATAACTAATGCCAGAAAACTGCATTCTTTACATTCATGTAAGTGCATATTGTGTAAATCAAGAGCACCAGCAAAACCTTAAAGTCTCTTTTAGACAGTCACACACAAGTGGCATGATTTTCAAATCTAAAGTTGGAGAAGCAGTATCTAAGCTAAACAAATGATTTGTCACACTCTGTAAATCTCAATATCTGAATCGACATGAAAGGATCCTCATTTTAGAGATCAGAAGTTCAATGGCATAAAGAAAAATAAGAAGAATTCATAATTAGATAATGACTGGATTTAAGAAGGAAAAGAAGTAACAAAATGAAAATAATAGCTTTGCAAATGTTTAAGTCCATAGATAGCATGCATTAATTTTATATTATTCCAGAAAGGACACCATAGAAAGCATTTTTTAATGCTGATAGGATGCATATGTATATTTGTAATGGGAGAGGGGAAGGAGAGAGAGAGAAAGAGAAAAAGAGAGAGAGAGAAGAGAGAGAGAGAGAGAGAGAGAGAGAGAGAGAGAAAGAGAGAGAGAGAGAGAGAGAGAGAGAGAGAGAGAGAGAGAGAGAGA